ACGGAGAATGCTGGCGACGATGTAGATGCGCCCTTAAAATTGACCACAGACTTGAACGTCGCACTGCAGGAGAGTCCAAACGGTGCCGGTTGGGGTGCATCCAGCTGTGGTTCGATGATTTCGTGCGTGGCGCTTTGCGAATTCGACAGCCATCCGGATTATGTGTTCACCAACGCCCTGAACTCGCTAATCGAGATACGCAAGCCTGAGTTGGTGCGCGTGCGCTACTTGCTTTTCTATGGTAGCCGTTTCCCAGACGATGACGAGCCGGAGGAAAAACGCGTTTCCAGTTGGCTAGGACGTAATAAATATCCGCTCTCGCTGGCTTGCTATATGCTACTGCTGGCTTCGATTGGTATGGCCAACAGCGGCAGTGGACAGTACTGGAAGCAGATTGTGAGCAAGAAGGCACATATATTTTTCGACTTTTGCCGGCGCATTTTCACAATGGACTAGTGTGTGTTGGGAGAGGCACAGATGAATTAAAATGCGCCTAAATGCATTACAAGGAACATATTGAAATGCCATGCTTCACTGGTTCGTGAACGTCGTTATATTTTCTATTTATCTGTTACCAATGTACGAATGCAAAAACCTATGTATCGATTATTCTAAATAACACTGGAAACTGTACATTTACGTGTGAGATAACTTGCATTTAAGCTTCCATTTAAAGCACGCCTCGTCGGTTTCGAAGAATTGATATGTCCATAGTTAGTTAGGTTTATACGAGAACGCCGTGCTCCTCGTCAGCTCTCCCGTTGCCTTTAATACCTTTTGTCCTGGGGTTGTGGCTAACCATTTTAAGGTCTTCGAGTGTTATGTGAAAGTAAAGCCTTAATAGCTGCCAGACTCAATTAAAATGTTTATCCCTTGGCTTGCGTTCTGATTTTTTCTGAAGAATTCTGCGAAATGAGCAAATACATGTCCAACAACAAAAATTATAGTTGAAAGCATGCGAAAGCTCGGAAACCGCTCGCTATGCTTAGTGCTTTTTACACGGAACGGAACTTAGAAACGGAACTAATTCTTTCTTTCGCTATAAGGCTTCCTCTTTTTTCAATCCTGTCTTTGGTATAAATTAGAGGCCTTTGGATAATATTATTGGATGACTATTATTGATTTTTGAAATGAATGAAATTATGTTACCGATTCGTCAACACGGCAATAAATCAGCAAGTCGCCAATTTGTTGCCATTGACGATTGTTGCCTAGTTCTCATGTTTTGCATGGTGGGTACATACAGTGCCGCACAGAAGTATTGGCGCAGTGATTTTTTCGCAATATATGCAAAGTTTTTTATTCTAATTTATTTTCGATAATTTTTTACAAAAATATTGTTCATTCTACACCAGAAAACATAAAAATAAAATCTCTATACTTTGTGCAAAACTCAGGAAAATTCATTAAATTTGCAACTATTTATTCAGATTTTTTAGAAAAATTCTAGGTATGCAGTCTTATAGTCCATTAAATTTGAATATATGAAAAAATGCAAGTTTAAAGTTGCTACAAAATCGCGTTGTTTTCTGGCAATTTTTTTAGTGGAAGGTGTTGCTCATTTTCTCCATACAAAAAATAATTGTCGAATTACTTTGTATGGAAGAACTTGCGTGAAAAAAAATTACCAAAAATCAATGCGATTTTCTAGCAGCTTCAAACTTGCACTTTGTTATACTAAATTTCAATGGGCTATAAAACTGCGTACTTAGAATTAGTGTGCAAATTTGATGAATTTTCCTGAATTTTGCACAAAGTTTAGAGATTTTATTATTATGTTTTCTGGCGTAGAATGAACAATATTTTTATACAAAATTATCGAAAATAAATTAGAATACTAAACTTTGCAAATATTGCGAAAAAATCACTGTGCCAATACTTCTGTTCGGCACTGTACATGTATACAAAGATACATATAAGTATGCAGTTATGTATACATTGGGCCGAAAATCCGCCTTTTGAGAATTTCGATTGGTAATCGCAAAAATAAAAACAGACTGTGTGAAAGATGTGCTCAAAATATAAAGTTTAATGAATACATTACTCAATACATTTTTTTAACTAAAATTGCAATTCGAATGTGTTAGTCCCACATAATTATGTATGTGGTCCTTTTTTGAGGAGAATCGAAGTAAGCTAAGAAAAATTTGTTTAGCACTTGAACTTTGATAGACTTGGGCGAGCCTAAGACATTGGCAGACTGTTTTGTTATTACCAATCAAAATTCCAAAAAAGGCATATTTTCGGTCCACGCTAGTATACATTCATGCATTAACACAAATTAGTGTTGAAAAATTATTACTCACTTCCGCTATGTCTCATATCAGCTCGGTTCAATTAGTTCGTATCGCTTTTGAATGCAACATTTAATAATATGTATTGAAATGATGGTGAAACAAATTATGCAACAGATGACCTGCGGGTTATATATGTACAAAATTTAATACTTTAGACCACCTGAAATCAGCCAAATATGCATGAAACCGTTGCATGCCACAAAGCTGGTCATAGCATTTTATCATTTACATGCCACAACGGTTGTTAATTAAATTCGGAACTAAATTGCATTTGAATGTTCCAAACACATACATACATACATATGTACGTACATGTAATGCAGGCACACATATGTATTTAGATTTGTTTGTGCTCACAGCCGCTTATCGCAGCACTTTGTGCAACATCGACAAATTTGTATAAGGATTTTTGTGTTGTTGCCTTATTGGAGTTGTATGTATGTAGTTTTGTTGTAGCTTTTGTAGCATTTATGAATTGAAAATGTATGCGGGTATTTGCAGCGGTTGATTTGGCGAAATCAAAAAGCATAAAACAAATATTTATTGTGTGGCAGAGCAATCAAACACAAAAATATGCAATGAGGTCGGCGATGGGGCGAAGGTTGGGGGCGCGGGTCGGTGCATCAATGAGGTGGAATAAGTTTTCGTGTCTATGCTTGTCTGAATATGTGTACATACATGTAAGTACGCGCATATGATTACTTGCGTTTACATTAACATGTTGCACAGCGTTGCCAACATTTAGGTACTGCAATCAGTTGCATGCAACAGTGCATAAACCGCAAAATGCAAATACTAATACATTACAAGCGATATGAATTACATTTGTCACAATTTCTCTTTTTGCCCGTATTTTATCAAAAACAACTACCGCAAAAAAGTGTTTTGTAGCGCAAAAAAAAGTTATCTTGCAGAATTCACTTCGACGGTTGCATTGTTGATTTAGCTGCTGGTTGCTGTTTATTATCGTTAATATTTTTATCACACTTTCTGCTCGGCATTCTGGTCCACATGCAGCTGTCAAATTAATTTTCTTTTTTTTTCAGCTATTATTTGCTTGCCATCCAAAGTTGCGACAGTTTTGTTGAGTATTTAAAATTTCCAGCACATTTCGTTTGCGGCAAAATTAAAAATGCAAATTTTCATTTTCATTTCAAAGCAGCCGTTAGTGCAGTGGTGTGGCAGTGAATGATTGAAGAAGGATATATGTATCTAAGTAAAAACAGGAAAAGTAGAAAATTTTTTAAGTCGGGCATAACAACAATACAAGTGATTCATTGATTATAAGGAACACCGGCTTGTGTTCATTCTGTCGGTCCTTTAATCTGTTCAAATATATGTATTCCCCATAGGCTTCGATTATATGCTCTTCTCTACACATACCGCTATAAAGAGTGAATTGGAGAGTGGAAGTTTAGTGGATGAACGAGTTGGAGGATTTGTGTTCTGTCAAGGAACTCTTAAGTTAGGGCTTCGGTAATTGTGACGCGATCATCTCCGATTACTTCTAAATTAGACAGATTAGAGTTCCAGGGAACAATTGTATTGCAGCTAACTATTTGGATGAAGAATTAGCTAGACAGGTTACTCTTGAGGTCGTATCTTCTTACAGGGAGGATATATAAAACTGTCTGATGCAACCTTTGTACTGGTTCTAGACAGATAAGCTTCTAGTTTGCACAGGCAGCCCTGGCCGAAAACTCTGATGGAAAAAGTTGCAAAGTTCCTTTCGATGGGTACTTGACCGCTGGCCATCAAAGGAGTTTCTACCTGGCCATGCGGTTAGGCTAATATCGTCTCGGATCCCAGCTGCAGTAGCTGATTAAAAGACACGATTATTTTTAATGCCCGACTTCATCATTTGTCATTTTTGCCATTTAATACCTAGTGGAAATCCAGCATTAGAAATTGTATATACATAGCTCCTATTTTGGAGATCACCAATGACCTGCTAGATTTCTGGCGGACTCGAGTCCACTTGAATTGAAGCGCGGAGCCTCGAAAATACTTTTTTTTATGACTTATGTGTAACATAAATACAACTAGAGGATTACCATTCAGCCGAAAAACTACTCTGCCTTCGAGTTCAGTATGCATTTGGCCTCGGCGTGTTTTTGGCTTGGAATCTCTATTAAGGTTCGGAAAAAATTTCCAAGACCCAAGAGGTGCTTTTTGTGTCACTCCTATTCAAAGCACACCACTGTCGCGGCGCATCCATTGTTGTTGCTGTTGCTTTATGCAAAAATAATGCGCTAATATTTATGCTGCAGTTGGATTTGCAGTGCTGCATTTCGAATGTCTATCGTTTTGTTTTTTTTTGTTTTTTTTTGCCGAGCATTCTAACTCATTTTATTTGCGCGTTTGCGTTTTTGGCGCATCCAATTGAAAGCATTTGAATGAATTGAAAATTTTTGGTGCAACCATAACCGGCAATGGTTTGTATATTTTATGATAACTTCGGGACCTTTATGGTGCTTTCAACACACACACTAATACATACATATACTCAGGCAAATGTATGTAAACATGGAGCATGGAGAAACAATTAAAATTTATAAACTACATATTTTGCCAAAATAAAAGTATCTACAAATGAATAACTAAATTTCCAGTAGATTGCTTGGTTGGCGCTCGTTCGTTGTTTGGCCGCTTAACTAACTAACCGGTCGGTCAGTTGATGTCATTTGCAGTAGTTTTGTGTTATTGTTAATAATTTTGGTTTAGAATAGTTACTCTTATATGTAAAACACAGTTTGTTGCGTATGAATGGAGTTTGTTTTTTTTTTTTTTATTTTACTCTATGTGTGATGGTGTAATAAAGTTTTAATTATGCAAAACTGATTTGATTTAATTGCAAATGAATATTAATTTTTTAAATGCCAACAAAATTCATTGAGTACATAAATTAGTTTAATTGTAATAGTTTTAACTATTCAGATGTGCATAATGCTGGCGATGAATAAATTTGGCAATGGGGCGTGATAAAAATTGAAAATAGCAATGCGTATTGTGTGTGAAATGCCACCACTTTTGTAAATTAATTTTTCCTAACAAATAAATCGTGGTGTAAAGCTCAATAATATTGCTAAAAAAGAAAATGTTTGAATACATGAACGGCTATGCGAATAGTAAGGCGCTATTAGTAGCCTGATTATCACA